AATGTTTTTGGGGAAAAAATAGTCAGACTAACAGGCAAAGCAGCAGGGAGTGCAACGGGAGAAAAATTTACTGTTTGTTATTGGAAAATCTAAAAACCCACGGTGTTTTAAGCACATTAAACAACTTCCTTGCACATTTAAAAATCAGCTAAAAAGTTGGATGACAGGAGACCTTTTTACAGAATGGCAATGAAACTTGACTCATTTTTTCGTTTTCAAGACAGGAAAGTAGCACTCCTGGTGGATAACTTCTGCCCACCCACACATTGAAAGGCTAAGCAACATCAACCTAATATTTTTCCCTCCTAACACCACATCTGTCCTTCAGCCCATGGATCAAGGCGTAATACGAAGTCTTAAGCTCATTATTGTCACAAAATTGTGCGTTTGTGTATCAAGGCTGTCGATAATAATGAACCTATGCAAAAAATTTCTATACTTTAAGCAATGAAATATCTTGTTTCTTCGTGGAATGTTGTGTCGAAGGAGACTGTCATCAACTGCTTTAAGAAAGCTGGTATCAGCAAAACAAACAAGAGTATTGAAGAAGCTGATGATGATCATCCTTTTAAATTTTTGACAGAAGAACTTAATCGTTTGCGAGAGTTAGATCCTCATTCCGTCCAAAAAGATCTCTCAGCGGAATCTTACATTGGTTTAGATTGCGATGTAGTAACCACTGGTTCACTTGCTACTGATGCTGAAATCATTGCTCAGATTTTAGACCCTAATTTTGAAAACGACGATAATGAAGTTGAAGATAGCGTTGACGAAGCTATTGACGTTGAAGCCCTCGTCACGCCCATCTGATATTCAATTAGAAATTGTTTTTGAAACAATTCAAAATACTTTTGAATTCAAATTGTCGCATTTTCACCATGAAAGTTATAAATTTTTTGATATATATATATATATATATATATATATATATATATATATATAATATCTTCGAAACAAAATTTGACATTAAAAGAAGAATGGCAGCTGAAAGACAACAAATAAGTTATTACAAATTCTATTTTATGTTTGTTCTGTGGTAAAAAATGGCAGCATATGTAGATTCTTTCCACACAAAAAAATTAATTTTGGTTTTTTAATCTAATTGATGCAACTTATAAACTTTAAACCCACTTTTTTTTTGTGTTATAATTTTGGAAAAAATTTCTTTAAAACATTTTTAAAAAACGTGAAATTCTTAACATCATTAAACAAAACAACTTTATTATTTCAAAAAATGTCAATAAAAAAAATACTATAATAGTTTTTCTGGTTCCTTTTGATATCTGTATTAAAAATATATAATTTTTTTTTTTTTTTATGGGTACTCCTATGGTCAGTCCCAGCAGTCCGAATTTTTGAAAATTTCTACTTTTTGAAAATATTGAGAAGGGCTGGGTCACTTACAAATATTTTTGTAGCCTGATAAATCTTATTTAAGATTATATTTTGTTTTATTGCAAAAAATGAAATGAAATGGTCAGTCCTACCCATTTAAAGACATGCTGTATATATTTGGGAGGTGGGGGGGGGGGAGTAAAACTTTTTTCTTACAATTTAAATAAATTTTTTTATTTACATTTGTATTTATTTTTTAAAGAAAAGTTATTTTAAAGCTTTCAACCAAGATTTTTTTTCTGTTGTCTGAAATTTTAGACAATGATCTGCAACAAACAGTAAATTAGCTTGGTTATCTTCTACGTTTCGGAAAGTTTCAATAAAGTCTTGACCAAGTTTAATTGCACGTTCTGCACTGTCATTTACAACAAGAAGGCCAGTGATATAATTTTTAAATCTTATATAACCTGAACATGTTTCCTAGTTTGATGAACTGATTTTCAGCTATTCTGTCTCATGTAATGTCATTTTAAGTAAATCAAAGAAAAACCAGCTTTCAGGAACAATAAAATCTTCAATTCTTTTTGTTATTTTTTTTTTCATTGTCAGTAAAAATTTCTGAACTTAGTTTTCCCATTTTATAACTGGTAGGCTTTGCTGTTTGAGCTAATTTAAGAGCTAATTTATGTAACTGATCTACAGGTAAGCATTTATCAGCAAGACACATAACCACAAATCTTTCATTTAAATACCAATTTTGTTTTTCAAGTGACTTTAGTACGGCCTCTGCTGGTTTAAGACATAATTCAGAATATTGTATCATTTCATTAATGGCTTTTAGATCTAAAGAAGGTGCTACGGCAGGGATAGGAGCTTTAATAAATCATGGAACATAAAATAGTGCTGTAAATGAATCAATTTCATGAATCAGCTTTCCCTCTTGTAATGATATTATATCAGGACATAAGTTACTGAATTGTGGCTGTAGAATGTCGTATGTTAAATAATAAATGCCCTGTGCCATAAACCTGGCATGATGTGAAGCCATTGGAAATCTAAAGTGAAAATCTTTTACTTTGCCACCTAACCAAAGAACTGCTAACTGTATAAAATACTTGTAGTCATTTCTTGGAAATATATCATTATCAAGGCAATTTTGAAGGAATGTTAATGATTCAGAAGCCTAAAATAAAAAATAAAGAAAGTTTATTATTAAAACTTATAATCAAACAGATTGATCTAATTAGGACAATCAAACCAACCTGCTTTTCCAAAAAAGATTTATTTTTTTTTTTCTGAGTCAAATCTCTTTAGGTTATCATAATTTATCTTCTTTTCAAGAATCGATTTCCAATTACACTTTAGCCTTTCAAATAACTCAGTCTTTGGTCCACTTGTTTTACCTCCAGTAAGAACACTTGAAAAGTGCTAAAATATATTTATTTCAAATCACTTAACTAAATTTTAATAATAAGGTGAATCGTTATTAAATTTATCGAGAAATATTAAAATAAATAAATATAAAAATATTTTATGACTTTTCAATATTTACCTTTATATGTAATTCGTAGACATGATGACGACAAGCCATCCAAATCAAAGCTTTTCCTCTCCACTGCTCAATAAGAGTACAGACTCCTTTTAGCCAACCAGTAATTGTGACTGTGGTGTCAAAGGACAGACAATCAACATAGTCAAATAGATCCCAGTCTTGTAAAGTTTTTTTGATTGCTTTCCCAAGAGACTCAGCAGTGCCATCTTTCACAATTAAAATACCCAAAAGTTGGGATTCTGAAAGATCTGGTAAACTGATTAGCGCAGCTAATCTTTCAACTTTTTCCTTACCAATTTCTCTCAATTCTACCATAATTTTGGAGTCAAAATGCACGATAAGACTTTTACCCTTAGCCAATATAATAAAGTTGTCTTTAATTTTACAGGCAGTTGTCTTATACTTGATTTTTTCTGCCTCAAAATACTTCGTTTAGAAATAGAAAAATCATCTGTTGTTCTAGAACTGTTATTTATAAGAGAAGCAAGAGTTGCACTCAGTGCAGTCGAACTTATTCCATATCGTGATGCTGTTGGAGCTAAATCTTTTCCTATATTTTTAGGAACTATAAGAGGAACAGCATTAGATTTTTTAATTTTTATAGAAGGCTGTAAATACTGTTCATCTTGGTCATTATCTAAAGTATTTAAATTTTTCATTGTGTCATCAAATTTCTCAGTAACCAACTCTTTCTGTTTTCTTATGGACTCTTTTATTCTTTGATTTTTTTTTTTCATTTCTTTTTTTCTTTTATTTTTTACAATATTTTGTGAAATTTTATCTTTACCCAACATTTTCTGAACACGCGCTCCTTTCTGGTTGTTAAGAAAATCTACATCCTCTCTTCTAGTTTTTAAATCTTTAGTTTTATCTTTCATAATAGTATGTTCACAATTGTTTTGACTTACATCGAATACTTCCTCTAGCAATCTTGAAAAAGTTTCTCTTTTTAAAACTAAATTCTTGCTTAAACGGTTCCTATGTTTGTTTAAATCTTTTCTCTTCTTTTTTAAGTCAACAATCTTGTCTCTAAAACAAAAGTAAAAGAATGCACTAAAACTGTTGCAATTTATTATAAATATATAAAATGTTACTTGTATAATATCAATTTTAAACTAGATAAAACTAAAAATTAAAAAGCATTTTAATATAATAAAAATCTGATATGCCTGTCAGTATTAACAAAAGAAATTCCTGCTTTTTGCCAAATTTTCCTCACCTCATAAAGGACTCATGGTAAACATTTTTGGATACAACCACCTATTTCAGCACATTGTGCAGTGAAGAAATCACCAAGTGGACATGAAGCTTTACTAACTGATGAAATGTTTGGAAAATCAGCTCTTAGCATAAGATCTCTCTAATGGTAATATTGCAATACAGTTCTTTTAGTTGGCAATTGTGTGATAGGTATTGTTCCGATTCTTTTTCCAACAAGAAAAACTTCACGATGAGTTTTTTTACCATAACCATTGCTTGTTGACATTGTTTTTATTTACACTTAAATGAAAATTTTAAAAATTACGGATTTTTTTTAACTGAACAACACCCACCCCTAACTCCCAAATATACACAACATATCTTTAAATGGGTAGGGCTGACCATTTCATTTCATTTTTTGCAATAAAACAAAATATAATCTTAAATTAGATTTATCAGGCTACAAAAATAACCTTAAAGATATCTTTGAAATATTTGTAACGACCCAGCCCCCCTCATTATTGACAAAAAGTAGAAATTTTCAAAATTTCGGACTGCTGGGACCGACCATAGGAGTACCCATAAAAAAAAATTATATATTTTTAATACAGATATCAAAAGGAACCAGAAAAATTATTATAGTATTTTTTTTATTGATTTAGGTGTTTTATGCCCCACCCTAATATATATATATATATATATATATATATATATATATATATATATATATATATATATATATATATATATATATATATACACACATACACAATGTAAAATGAAAAAAAATTGATTTATAATTTCTTTTTAAGTTATTACTTTTATTATATATAAATATGAGAGTAATGGTATGTTGTGTGATTTTTTAAATATTTTAATATACAGAAAAAGAGTTAAAAATTTTATTTATTAGCTTATGCCTCTTTTCGCTTGTGTTGGAGCTGGAATGTGCATGGCTGCTTGCTATACTATTAGACTTGCTACAAAAGGTCCAGAAGTCACGTATGTGCTTTTATTTTGTTTAGTTTGTTATCATTAATAAATTGGTTTCGACAATACAACAATTATGAGATATAATGTATGATCAAACTTTAGTAACATTTCAAAATTAATTCTAATGTAAAGTGATTATATTAGAAGATCTTCTTGGAGAAATTTTTATTTAAACATTTGTCAAGCAAAAAAAAATTGTTTTCATTATGAATCATTCTATAATGAAATTATAAGTACAAAAAAGTTTGCATCAATATATTATTGACCTCAGAACAACATAAAGATTTTTTTTTTTTTTTTTTTTTTTTTACAACTTACTAGTGGTTGGTACCTAAATTTTAATTTGTTTAAAAATATACTGAAATTGATTCATGCAAAATCACCATTTTGATGTTAAATATTATTTAATAACCCAAATTACTTTTATTTTTCAATTTATATGTAGTTAAGGGGCTTAAAAGTTGATACTTTAATCTGCTACTGCTATTATGTTTTAAAATTTTAAAGTAATTTCTCATTCGTTTATATTAAAAAACAATTTGTTTATGTTTAAAAAATAGTTTCTGCATTTTCAGTTTTAAAAAGGCATTAATACTTAACTTGAGTTTATTTTTAAAAAAAGTTAACAAATATGAATTTTTGATATAATAGATAACTGATACAGAAGCCTTTATTCCACAAAAAAGACTCATATTGTGGTGATGAAACAATGTTATTAAAAACAAATTTCAGAAATTATATTTATTAATTTAACTTTTTTTTTTTCTTTCACATGAGCCTAAAATTTTTTTTTTTTTAAAGAGAGAACTGAAAATCCTGGAGATGCGCGCAAATTTGTTGTTTTAGGAAACACTCGATTTAATTTTTTTTTTTTTTTTTAAATGTAGCAAATTAACATATGGGTACTCAGCGTAATTAAAGAGAGATTCGAAGAAAAATAGAGCGTTTAGGCCTTTTCGTTTTGAAGAAATGCCGTTTCATTTTGTGTGCGTTTTGATTGGTTTATTTTTTTTTTAAATCACGAAGCTCGTTGTTTTATTTTGTTTACAAATATTCGGTGATTTTATTATCTACGAGTTCTAAATTTTAGCTTAATTCTATGGGGAAGAAGTTATACAAAAGCTGAAACGTTTTTGTTTAGTTATTTTTAAACTTGAGTAAATTATATAAGAAAAGCTTAAATTCTACTTTTTAAAAATATGTAACAGTAATAGTCGAAAATAGGTGGAAATCTAGTTGTTTTTTTTTAATTGTTTTTTTGTCTTCATTCTATTACTGTAAGCTTCAATACAAAATAATGTTTTATTTTATTTTCTATTTATTTATATGACCCGTAGAGAATGGATTAAAAACAATATTAAATTAGTATTTTAAAAAGAAAAGAAGCATGTTATGCTTTTTTGTTTTATTATAATATATTTTTTTAATAAATTGTTTCAATGCGTTATTAGTAGTGCTGGTATTGATAGCGTTGGTATTAAATAATTGTTTAAAATGTTTATGTTATAAAGTTTGAATTTTTTTCACTTTAGTTGGTCCCGAGTTAGAAATCCTGAGCCCTGGCAAAATATTCCATTCAACAAATCTGTCAAGGTAAAACAGAAAATAGTAGTTTGTATTATTTTTTTTTAAGAATTTTCTCAGTAGTAGTTTTAGAATTTTTTTAGTAGAAGTTTGTATTAATTTTTTTTAAGAATTTTCTCAGTGGTGTCAAAATATAAGGTTCATCTACAAATGGTACTGATTTCCTAATTTGAACCATGTGTGTTTGCAGTTTTGAAAAAGATGCTAGTAACAAAATTTTGCCATGATTAGTTATTTACAGAAATTACAAAAAGAATCTTAAATTTTACCCAGTTATAAAGAAAAAATTCAAATTTTTCGGCGTATTAGCAAATTTATAACATCTTACAAAAAAATGTAATGTGATAGTTAGGTTGTTATTTCGACTTATTTTTAACCTGTGAAATTTTGTCAGCTTTTGAATACTTTACGCTTTAGTGAAAGTGTGGCGTTTTGTGAGCTTAGTAATTCATACTGTAGTGCTTCACACTAGTAAAATTGTAAAGTTTTAAAAGCTTATAAATACTTCACGCTGTTGTGATATTGTGAGATTATAAATACTTCACACTGTAGTAAACTTGTGATGTTTATATTTTAAATATATTTCATGCTCCATGATAAACATCTGTTTGGGCAAAGCTACTGCCCTAGTTAGAGTCCAAGTTAGAAAGGTCAAGCTAGAGTTCTCTTGAAAACAAGATTGCATTTTGAAAAAAATTGTTCAAAAAAAGGTTATAGCCAGTAGGCAGTTAATACCGAAACAAAAACCTTTATAAAAGACTAAAATTAAATCTAAAAAGCTCATCTTCCAGGTAAAGAATTGTCCATCTTATTATTTTGTTATTATGTTAAATATACTGTACAAAAAACAGTAACTACCAAGAAGCTTGGAACCACCATAGAGCAAAATAATAATATAGTTTCTATAAAATGTGTAAAGTTTCTGCCTTATCCAACCAGGTTTCTAATTGAGCAAGCAAAGAGCTAAGTAATTAAGTTTATCTAGTAGGTCATTACTAATTCAACTAAATCATCTCAAGTAGATAGTTAATAGTTCAAATTGACAGCCAAAGTTTTGTGCTATAACAGCCGTTTCAGTCAAGTTAAGCGGGTTTTTTATCGCCTAGAATTTATAAGATTTGAATTTAATTAAAAATAAAAAAAAATTGACGTGCAGAGAACTTGACAACATAAAAGTAAATGTGTAAAAAATATCAATTTGCCAATATTTATATAGTAATTATATATTTTAAGTCGTTAGTGTTAAAAATTTTCACACCACTAAACTTCCAGCCTCACTCTTGAAATTTTTATATAATTATGAAGATGTTACATCTTCTTTCTTTATAATAACTTTATTTCTTTATAATAACTTTATTTAAAATCTAAAGAACTATAATGCTTTTTTTCTTTAGTTCTATACAGTGAATGATTACTCGAAGCTGACTCCTCCTGTTCCAAATGAAGCATTAGAAGCCGTCAAGGGAATATAAAATGGCCTATTATGATTGCTAACGGTTATTTGATTTTATGATTAATAAGAAATAAATTGATTAAACAAATTTTATACTGTGTTTTTTTATAAACAATAGTTTTTAGGGACAAAAATTTTGATTACTTTATAGATTTTTTTTTTTTTTAAATATGCAATCAAAACAATTAAGTTTCTTAAAACTTTTTCAAAACTACATATTGTGATGAAAATGGGTTTGTTACGCTTTGTTTTTTTAACGAGTAACTTAAAAAATATTTCTTTTAGTCCATATTGAGTATTACTTTTTACTAGCGTACTTTTTTTTTTTTTTTTAAAAAAACTTTAAATTGATAACCGCAAATGCATTTTTTTTCATTTTTTAAATTCTTTATTGCAGCTTTTTAAAAACATTTGCGTAAACGTTTTCGAGCATTTTCGTGTTCCTTTGATCTTATATCAGTTCTGCATAATACATAAACTTTACTGTTTGAAAAGCAATGTTTTTGTGAAGAGAGATAGTTGAAATGCTTAGGAATAACAATAAAACGTTTAAAAATGACAAATATTTCAGTAAAATTGAAGTGTACAATTTTTTTTTTATTTGCTTTTTAACTATCATGATGTATAAAACAAGAAAACAACTTTTGAAAACACAAATGGATGTATATAACTCAACAGAGAGTAGCTTTTATGGAGTCGAATGTGCTTACACTTATCGTGTAACCAAACCTGCAAAGACATGGCATTATACAAAAATTGTAATAGAATATAATCCAAAAAAGTTTTGTACTAAAGATTTTAGAAATTTTTCGGATAACGGAGGTTCCGTTTTTCGTGTTCAAGCATTTAGTGTTTACGAAATGGTTACCACAACTACTGATTATATAGGTAACGAAACATATGAAGCAAAAATACTTTTAACATTTCCAACTAAATACATTTTAATGATTATCTTAACGTACGTAAACGGTCAAGCTATGGAATCAACTAAACATACTAACCCCGTGCTGCAACATTTATCAGGTAGTCCTTTTACTCTTAACGTTTTAAGAAGTCAAAGTCCAAAAAATTTAATTAGGTACTGTTCTTCTAAAGAAAGTGGATTCGTAAGTGGTAGATGGATTAAATGTGGTGGTGCTATTTCTGGATTAGAAAGATGTGGTGCTTGGCAAACTAGTGATTTTGACTTTGATAAAATATACGGTTTTCGTTGGGTTCCTTATGTATGCCAATACCATCAATATACAAACGATGAAATTAAGAGATGCTTTGCCAGAAATAAATGGAGCAGTATTGTTTTTGCTGGTGACTCTCACATGAGGTACAGAGCGTATCATTGGGCAACACGTTTGTATGGAAGTTGTCATTCTTGTGTAAAAACCCATATTAAAATGTTGTTTAACAAAATACCTCGAATAGAATGGATATTTGACGCAAGAGGAACTCGACTGCCTCTATCATTTCCAAACATCTCACTTCCGTTAGAAAAATATATTCACCCAAAAGTTCGACGTTCAAAATTTTCAACCCCGTTTCCAGTAGAAAGCATGAAAAGCAAACTGATGCTACTAAATTTCGGACATTGGGTCCTCAGAGAAACTGGAAATTTAAAATTTATGCAGGAAAAAATAACAGCTTATGCTGAAGCTGCACGAATACTTCAAATGTCTGGTACTAAAGTTGTTTGGGTAAATACCGTAAGTCTACCATGGAGAACAGACAAGTCTGTAGTTGAATGGAAAGAAAACACGTCACCGTACAGAGTTAAATTTTTTAATCAATTGGCTGACGATATAATGGAGCAATATGGGATTCCTGTTGTAGATGCATTTCAAATATCAGACGGACGCATAGCGGCAACTCATGATCAAACTCATTATACTAAAAAACTTCCGGGAAACGATTATGGGGGTGTGGTTGAAAATGCAATCTCTAATGCTATTATCAATTTATTGTGTAACTAATTTTTTTATTTATAAAAACTGTTGAAAATATTTTATTTTCAACAGTTTTATTATTTTACTTTTTATATTTTAAATATTTTATGTTTTAGATTTTATTAAAAGCTTATTTTAAGCTAGCTCGTACGTATAAGTTGGCTTAAAAAAAGCTTGTTTAAAATAAATTTTTACAAAGTCTTTTAAAAGAAAACTTTCTTAAACACTTTTCTTTGAGCTCGTTTGTTTACACTTCAATGACGCTAAATTTTGCAAGCAACCTCTAATTAGAGTTGGAAATTACTGAAAGAGAAAAAATAAAGATTGTAGAGCACGATAACGATTGACAGACGACTTAAAAGATTGCAAATTATATGAATCAGGAAAGCAAGATGAAGGAAGCGAATTCCAAAGAACTGATGTGCGAGGAAAAAAACTAGAGGAAAAACTAGAGGCAAACTAAGAGTTTTTGGAGCACTTAGGAACAGTAAAAAAGATGAGACTTAATTGAATGAAGAGTATTACGAGGATGAATTTTAGTAGATGGCACAAGAGACGCTAGCTCTTTAGAGCAGTGCCCATTATAGTATTTGTAGAAAAGAGAAAGAGAAGCAACATTACGGCGATATGACAAAGGTTGAAGGTTGGCTGCAAGAGCAGGTTGAACTATGTTTACTATGTGTTTGATGGCTATATCAGGTAGAACGCAGCTAGTGGAATCAAGAGATGAAATTGATGAAAATTGATGAAAAGTTCTTAGCAAACAATTCAGCTTTGTCTTTAGGTGAGGTGACAAAGTCTGAACTATACAAAAGAGGTGGAATTACAGGTTTACCCTTTTAATTAATACTATTAAAGATTCTCCAGAAGTCACGAGAGCCTAATTTTTGTGATGAAATACGACCATAAACTGAGTAGAGAAAGTAAATGATTGGGTTGTCTGGAAAGTGAGTTGGAATATTGGAGTTGACTATTTGAGTTAGAAGTTGAGATTATAAGCTTTAATGCCTGCAGAGTCACTGACATTAGAGCCAAGCCATTTAGTGTGATGAACATTAAAGCCACCGACAACAACAATATTGGCTCATGGATGTATAAAAAGGGCTTGGTCAATATGATCAGAAATAACATCAAGAAGAGTGCAGTCTTGAGATAAAGGAGAACGATATAGAACAAAGAGAAAGACGATAGACTGAAGTGGTGCTAAACCAAAGCACATAAAAGAATAGTCTATGGATTCAAATCTAGTTTCCCGACAAATGGGTGAATTCTTACAAACGTAAATGTCCAGGCCAAGCATGTGACTATTAGAGTCTTTACGAATTAAAGGAAGATAACCATCAACACTGAGATCACAAGATGAGAGAGCTGAACTCAAACTAGTCTCACAAAGAGCAAGTAGGTCTGGTGAACTTTGCAAGAGATAAGACTCAACAGATGAAAAGTTACTTTAAAAACCACGAATATTAGTGAATGGTAGATTTAGAGAACTTGGTTATGACAATGGATTTTTGTGTTTTATAGTTTTTAGTACTGTAGTCATTTTTAAATTTGTTAAAGAAATTGACTCAAAGCATTAACAGTACTCCGTACATTGTTTCATAGCCTAAGCAAATTTGTTAAAAAAACTGACTCAAAGCATAAACAGTACTCCTTACATTGTTTCATAGCCCAAAGCATAAACAGTACTCCTTACATTGTTTCAAATGCCTCAATGTTATTAATAAATCCTAAGCCGTAACAAAGGGCTTCAAATGTGGCCTTGGCAATGCACACCAAAAGTACAAACAAGAACACTATCCATGTGCAACTGTTAATTCTTTGATATTTTTCAGCTGTTAATGAACCAGCCTCTCTGAGAGCTACCACAGAGTTCGGGAAACCTGACTATCAGTCGGCCTTAGAACCATAAAACTGTGTTTTAGAGCGGTACCTTCATTAGGAGATAATGCAATGAGTTGTCTAGTCATAAAAACAGGAGCACTAGCAAAATCCATGCCTTGAGTCAAGAAGATCCAGCATTTAACATCCTAAACTGGAATCAATGTATTTAAAATACATCTGCGTCAACCTAATAGATGAAGAGGGGTGAGACTGGTTCGGGAATGGGGGCGGAAATTTTCGCAAAAGAATTTTGCTAATGGAGAATTAAATACTAAATCCGTCCCTGTTGTTAATATTTAAAAATATTAAAAATATATATCTATATTAAATATATATATATATATATATATATATATATATATATATATATATATATATATATATATATATATATATATATATATATATATATATATATATATATATATATATATATATATGTTTACATATACAAACATAAGAGCAGCGTTATTACAAAACTATGTTAGTATGTTAGCAATTAGTAACTCACTAAGCCAAGCATATGTTTTTATAATGTTACGAAAGGAATAAATTATCTGGAGATAATTTGTTACTTTATTGCACAATAGCATTAACTAAATAATGCATTATAAACGGTTAATAGCCATCTGAATGGGTACAAGTTTATCCAACATCGAGCTTTTGATGTTTGCTTAAGATAAATGCAGGTTTTCTTTATACAGAAAACATAAACAAAACTACATCGTTTTGCTCTAAAGCCATTCTTACATAATAACAAATGTCAGACATCATAAATAAGACACTAAAAGAACTTTATATATGGTAACTGCAAAATCCTCTTTCAATTTATCGGCCTTTTTTTTTTTTTCCAAGTTGCACAATTAATTTTCGAATTTTTTATCTAGATGCAGATCAGATTAGACGGATTGACCACTTAGTTCCATACACACCTCGTACCGCTATTAGATTAGGCAAAACTTATTTCGCCTAATGCATAAAAAAGCCACTTGCCTAACCATAGTTTATAACACTACCGTGCTTATCGTAGTTAAGTTACTCGTCAGCAACGCCGTGTATAATAAAAAATGCCCTATAAAATTTTAAAATGTAAAGTAAATTACGTCTTAATAGCTATATAAAATTTTCCGTAGGCGATTGTCTAATGTGCCGCACCCTAGATCCGCCCTTTAATATATATATATATATATATATATATATATATATATATATATATATATATATATATATATATATATATACATATATATATATATATATATATATATATATATATATATATATATATATATATATATATATATATATATATATATATATATATATATATATATATATATATATATATAACACATCTATAATATATGTAAAAAACACATCTAAACTTTTTACAGTATTTGTGTTAAAAAGTTCAAAAAGTTCTCGACCAAGAGGTATTCCACTGTTATTCAGAGTGGTAGCCCTTTTATCAAATATAAAATATCAGGTTGAGCAATTTGTAAATCATTGGTGATAATGAGCACACCTTTTACAACCGACCAACTTGTATCTCTAGCAGCCAACTGGCTAGGCCTAGGTCAAGGTAATCATTCAGCTGCTTCTCAAAAGCTTGATGCTACGATATCAAAACTAATAGTCACAGTCAGCATACTTCTCACCCGCGTATCAGTTCTTGAAAACGAAAACATTACTCTAAAAGCATATCACCTCTCTACAGCCAAAGTTAGCACCAACGAATTTTAACACAACTCTCATCTGGGCAAGTGCAGTCAAGCACGGTTCAGAAGCCAATAAAGCAATTATCACAGCAGTCAAGGAAAATGCCAAAATTGCAGAAAAAAAATCTTTTTTTTTTTTTTTTTTTTTAAGGTGCCCCAAGAAGTCATCACAGTGCACCGCGGAAGAGTATTTAATAGGAAGTTCACGCCTCCTTCCCAACCGATGTCGCGAAACTTGCCCAGAGGTGGGGTTTTAAATTTAATTTTTTTTTTTTTTTTTAATTTTAAATTTTTTTATTTTATTTTTCTTTTTTTTGTTTTATGTTTTTTTCTTTTTTTTTTTTTTTTTTCTTTTAATTATAATTTTATTTATTTTATCTTTTTTTTATTATATCATTTTTATAATATTATTTTTTTTATTATTTTATTTATTATTTTATTTTATTTTTTATTTTATTTTATTTATTTTTATTTTATTTTTTTATTTTATTTTTTATTTTATTTTTTATTTCAAATTTTTTTATTATAATTTTATTTTATTATTTATTATTATTATTAATTAATGCTGTTGAGATAAACGCCAGGCAATATCTATGACAGCCGGTATAAATTAATTAATGAACAAGTTAGTTCAGTCACTAAATAATAAAAAACGTTAATAGTAAGCTTTCTTGGTTTTTATCTTGTTTGTTATTGCTTCTAAGTCGAACGATTGCAAGTTTAATTTGAAGCTTTTAACTGTAGTAGATTGAACAACTTCGGCTGGTAGACTATTCCATCCATCGACAACTCTATTGCTTTATTTTACTATTTTATTTTCATTTTTAATTTATTTATTTTATTTTTTTATTTTACTTTATTTTTTTATTTTAAATTTAATTTTAATTAAATCTAAAAGAGCTATAGTTGCCAGTCTTCCAAAATCCTCTTACAATAATCAGAGGCTAACTTAAGTTCAAAGTATACTCAAAAAGCTTAACTATAATGTTGCTTTTAAAGTTGTTGGGCATTTCTCAAAAAAGTTTAGCAATACCACCAGTTTAACTACAGTAGCAGCTGAACCAAATGAATTGATTATCATTGAGTCTGACTCCAATGATCACCGCAATAATCTCTTATCTAATGCAAAACGACTTGCCTCAATAGATTAATTAAAATCGGTCTATATTCTTCCAGACCGTACACCTCTAGAATAAGAAACATTCAACAACTTAAACAAAAAGCGTGCTTCCGAAAATGCAGAATTTTTGGCATAAAATTTACTTGACAAACCTTTCGATTTGTCATCAGCAGCGAAAAAATCAAATGCATTGACACATCCAAAACAGTTAATATCAATGGAAGAGAGAGGAACCCATTCCTCAAATGGAAACCAGCAGCTCAGGCCATTCAATCGCTCTCAACATCTTATTAGTTCAACATTTTTAAACAAACCCAGTTCTTCTACTAAATTATCTAATCTTTTGTGCTTCTACACTAATGCAACCTCCCTCAATCCAATAAAACTCATCGAACTCTCCTTACTCGCAGAAAACAACTCCTTTGACATTATTTTTATAACTGAGATATGTTTCAACGACCAATCAACTCCCTCTCTTCCAAACTACAACCTCTATCGTTCA